TATAATTTATTCACTTATAAATTGTTAATTATTTATTAGAAAAGTTAAATAAATAAAACAAAATAAAATAAAAAATAAAAAAAGAGGGTTAACCCGGCTCGGCCTGCAACCTAACCTGGCGGGTTAGGGTTGACTAGCCGAGTTGGGCCAGTTATTTCTCCAAAAATGGCGGGCCTAACCCGGCCTGCCTTTGTTGGCGGGTGGGTTAGGACCGACCCGCCAAAAGTTGTACCCGTCGCAGATCGGGCGGGTTACTTTTCCAGCTTTATGGGGATCCAAAGGCTTCTTGCAAAGATTTACTATAAAATACTAAAATCGAATATCAAAGACATATCTACAAAAATAAAATATCAATTATATAAAGTAATGATCCTAAAAATATAATTAGACCATATAATATTCAAGTAATTTTCTCAAATTTGATGAATGATTTAATAACATCTATCTATAATTAATATTAATAATTATAAAGATACAATTATTAATTTTATCTTAACACAACTTTGTGTGTGTGTATATATATATATATATAAAATTTATATTTACTTTCAAATTATTATAATTTAATACTTATTATGTCTTAATTTAATTAGTTTATTTTGTTAGAATAAATTTATTTACAATCTATTTAAAAAACATTGAATAAACATACCTGTGTAACGCTCAGACTTTATGTCTAGTTGATAAAATAATTCAATATGCTTGCTATATAATTTTTTTAATTACTTAATTTATTTTTAATTTAAAGTCATTCTAAAATAGTGAATTAAGCATATTGAAGGGAAAACTGGAGAATAGAAAGACATCGAATACTGGTGCTGAAATTTTGCACCGATCTATGTGGCATCTAACTCAGACGTGCCACGTAGGACACAACACATGTATTCAGTGAATGAACAGTTGTCCAACAATTATTGACACTCGTCCATATCTTATGGACGACCGTTCATTACGAATGGATGAGAGTCCATAAAATATCAATAGACTGTTGTCCATATATTATGGACAAGAGTCCCTTTACTATGGAAGGCCATCCATATTATATGGACAGCTGTCCATACAATTTTAGATGAAATATTCATTTTTAAAACATAAAATTTTTAGATGAACTAAAAGAAAAAAAAAAAAAAAAAAAACTTTGATTCTAAGTAAAAGTATGGACGCTAGTCCATCTAATGGGTTGTCCACACACAATGGACGACCATCCAAATGAGTGGACTGGCGTCCATTCTCAAATAATTTTTTTTTTAATTTTCAATTTTTTTTTTCATTTATAAACAAAATGCAAAGCAAAAGAGAAATGAAACCTGTTTTTGGAGGCCTAAATTTTTAAGCATTCTAATTGAAAATTTTAAAGAAATTTTTTTATTAAACTAAAATTTGAGTATGGATGGCCGTCCATCTTACGCAGACAGCCATCCATCTTACATGGACAATCATTCATTGTATATGAACGCCCGTCCATATAAGATGGATGTTTGTCTATTATTTGTTTTTAAACTTTTCTAGATCCATAGTAAATGGACACTCGTCCATATTATATAGATGAGAGTCCATTGATATTGTCGTGGACGATCGTCCATATGTGATGAACGGTTGTCCATAACGTATGGACGACCGTCCGTGTAAGATGGATGATCATCCATTCATGGAATCAGTATTTTCTATCTAATGTGACTGCATCTTAGTGGATGTCACATCGTTTGGTAAAAAATTTTAATGCACAAATTTGATGTCAGTAGTAGAGGTGAGCATTTGGGACTAGGTCCAAAAACCTGGTCCTAGGAGGCCTAGTCCCAAAACGGGACTAGGCCTAAGGAGGAGGGCCTGATCCCTCCACTGGGCCCTCCTCCAAGGCCCCGGCCCGGGCCCAAATTTTTTTAAACATTTTTGTTCTAGTCCCTTGTATAATTACGTAAAACCTCCTATAAAAAATAAACATAAATTATAGGGGTTAAAAGAAAATTTTACAAAATTTATTAAAAAAATAATTTAAATTTTCATATTAATAAATTTATTGGTAGTTTAAATTTAGTACTTAAAACTAATAATAAGTTTATATTCATTTTAATGGTAAAAACCAATGAAATAAAATATATATTTTTTTAGATTTCACTTATTACACTTACTAATGAAATAAAATCATATTTATTTATCTATTATTCGTTATTGTTATTATCTATTATAACCAGTTTATAATCATTGTATTGAAATCATATTTAAAGATGAGTTCCATGGTATTTAAACATAGTCATGACAAAATTAAGGCATTTATGTTAAAAATTAAAGTTTTAAGATATTTAAAAATTTTGTCTTCTAAAAAAAGATGTCTATGATTTGTAAAAGCAAGCTTGATAATACTTATAATGCAACGTTTATAAGAAATCGAAAAGCATCAATTAATCACAAACGTTTCGACAAATCTAGTTATCAATCACATTAATTGTTAGATATATAATAATTGCCTCTTTAATCTCCAATTTTTTTTTGCTATAATCTCATAAAACTTTTGTTAAATATAAATATAATAATGTTTTAAGAGAAACTGTTTTAAAGGTGGAAGAAAAATATGATAAATATTGGTTAAATATTTCATTCTTATATGGACTAGGCCTTGTTGTAGATTCTAGGTTTAAATTACACGTAGTTAACTGTATAATTACTGAGTTAGGCCAGCATTTAGGACATGATTATACGTCTTATTTGACTGACTTTAAACAAAAATTGGATAACCTTTTTTCTTTATATGAGAACAGGTACAATGGAAGTGGAAGTGGAATGTTCATGAGAGACGATCAAGACCCTAATACAGACCTATGTCAAGGATCAAGCTAGTGGACGTATATGGAACATGGCGGAAGTAGCAGCTCCAGCTCGTACATACATAGATCAAATGAGTTGAATCGCTACCTACAAGTGGACATGTCCTTTATGGCGATGAAGGAGAAATGTGACATGGATATTCTTCAATGGTGGAACCAACATGAAAGTCGATTCCCCATTGTAGCCCAAATGGCACGTGACATTTTATCTGTGTCGGTTTCTACAATTGCATCGGAGTCAACATTTTCAATGAGTGCCTGGATTGTTGAAGACAGAAGATGTTCTTTAACCGATGAGATGATTGAAGTGATAACGTGTTTACGGGATTGGAATCATGCAGAAAGAAGACTACAACAGCACCCTGAAGATCCCGAATTACTCCAACTCTTTAGGAATACAGATTTGAATGATGTAAATATTGTTGACGATGAAGATGAATAATTTAATAAAAAAATTATTTAATTATTTATTTGTGAAGCGTAGATGTGTGAAATGTGAATATTACATTTATGTTAAAATTAACTATTAATTTATTTATTATTTTTTAAAATCAATTAAACTTTTAAAAATTTACTAATCTATTCTTAAAAAATACCAAAAACCCCCAATAAAATTTTGTTTCGTCCCTAAAATAAAAAAAAAAAAATCAGGAGAGAAAAATAAATTGTTCAAGCCTATAGGACCAGTCCTCGACCTATAGGACAAATCCTAAATACCGGTCTAAGTCTTAAAATTGCTCATAGACCTGGACCGGTCCCAGGCCTATGAGCGACTGATCCGAGGCCCGGGCATTGCTGAAGCTCAAATGGTGTTGCTGTTGTGTAGCAATCGGCGAAAACACACCGTACAATAAAACCTCCAATTTCCGATTGCAGATTCGATGTAGTGGTACTATGAAAATGACTTGTTATGTCATAAATCACGTGATCTCTTATAGCTCTCTCACTCTCTATTCAATCAATAATTTTAACAACAATTGTCTTTTTCATTTTCTAAATTATATTTTTTAGTTATTACAAAATATGTCAAAGAATTATGACGCCAATAAAATAAAAAACTTTATTAAACAACACAATACTAGAAATAACTTTTCGAAAATATATTATATGTTTGTAATACTAGAAATAACTTTTCAAAAATATATTATATATTTGTAATACTAGAAATATTTAATATTTAATGATTATATAATAGAGTAAACGACCTTTTCCCACCCAAAATAATAGTTTAATGACATTTTTTTCACCCACAAACTTTTAAAATATTATTTTATTATCTAAATTTATATTATATTTTCGATTTTGACATTATTGCGACCTCACACCACCATCATTCTCTTCTCGATTATTCAAAAGACTCATAGGCATCCTTTCTTAAAAAACTCTAATAATTTGGATCGAGTTTACTCTCTTTTCATCACCGAAATATAAATTTGGGTAGTAAAATAATATTTTAAAAGTTTGTGGGTGAAAAAGTATCATTAAACCATTATTTGGGTGGAAAAAAAAGCCGTTAACTTTATATAATAAATGGATAAAACTCCTTTTTTTTAAATGATAATAATTGAAATAAGAAGAAAAAAAGGTGAATTTTTGCTTTGTAGACTTTGTGCACAATAAATCTACATTTTAATATGTTTCTCTTAAATCTATCTTTAATTTGCATATAAGATAGTTTAGGTTTTACATTTTTTTGTTAAAGAATATAAGAAAATTTATTTTTCAAATTTGAATATTCCCATTAAATATGAATACATTTCGTCCCCTATAATATACATCATGCAGTATCCTTTTGTCGGCAAATTAAACATATTAATGAAATGATACAAACATATTAAACATACTAACGGCCAGATCTGGTCCAGACCTGGCCGTTAACGGCCAGATCTATTCTTGCCGGAATAGATCTGGCCGTTAACGGCCAGGTCCATGGCCGTTAACGGCCAGATCTGGTCCAGACCTGGCCGATAACGGCCAGGGATCTGGCCGGAAATGGTCAGAATAGCCAGATCTGGCCCGATATGGCCGTTTTCGGCCATCAATATGGCCAGAAACGGCCATATCGAAGCCTCCCAGAGCCTCCCAAAGAATTTCCTTCTTTTTTAGGGACTCCGACGATTTTCCGGCGGTGGTCCGTGGTGGTTGGCCCGCTTTCGGTGGTGGTTGTTTGGTGGCTTTGGTGGTGGTGGCTTGGTGGCAGTGGTGGTCTGTAAATTATTTTAAATATAAGGGCATTATTGTCCAAAATTTTAATTAAATAAGGGTAAAATTGAAATAGGATATTAATGTAAATTTGTTTTAAAGTAAGGGTATTATTGTCCAAAACTTTTATTAATAAGGGATAAAATTGTAACAAAAAAAGATAACACTGGTAATCTCAGAAAACCTAAGAAAATGGAGATAATCAGATTACCTCTTATATTACCAATAGTAACTACTATTGGTATTTGAAGATTACTGGTATCTTAGATTACTTGACAACCTAAAGAGACAAGTCATTAATCCAAAAGCCGTCCTCTATGGTTTCATCAAAAGTACGGTTGACTGCCATCTCATTTCCGGAAGTTCCTGCGACTTCATCAAATTCATTTCCTGTACTTAACAAGCTTTCCCACCACAACGTATTTTCATTATTGTTATGGGTATCCAAAGGCTTCTTGCAAAGATCGTATCCGGGTTGAATGCTGTTTCCAATAAGAGAATATTCGTTCTTCATCAATGGTGAGTTTTTAGATAAGAGCCGAGGTCGAGGTTTTATTACTTTGACACATTCTGATTCTGTCTTCTGAGCCTTTCCTTTCGCATCTTTGTTGCAGGAATTTACAGGCTTTTTGCGGAGATGTGTGTTCCAGTAGTTCTTCACGTGATTAGCTGTTCTTCCAGGCAGCCTGCCCGCAATAAGAGACCATCTACACAAATATTCTATAAAAATTAATGCAAGTAGACTTCCTGAGAAGCTAATGATAATAAATGAACTGAGTTGATATATTTTGTTTTAAATCTTCTGCACTTGCCTATTGCCTAGCAGCTTACGAAGCCTCAGAATCAAGTCAACTTCATCAGCTTCAAAGTCTTCTCTCTTGATATTTGGCTTCAGATAGTTCAGCCACCTCAATCTACAGCTTTTCCGGCATCTATTTAGACCTGGAAAAATACAAGAAAATTTTCAAGCATGCAGCCAATATTTCATGATGTAGGAAATATGTTGGCAAATAATTAACTAAATTACCTGCTATGAGAGGAACTTGATACCATTTTCTCTCCCCATACTTCTCAACATACTTTCTAAGAAGTTCATCTTCCTCCCCTGTCCATGCACCCTTTCGAACTCCTAAAGACCCGTTCATTATAAAACCCACTAATATTTCTTTCTAAACTACACAATTTATTGACATCAACTTAAACATTTATATGAATATTGCAGAGGCATGCAAAAGTCTCCTAACTAGCTATTAATAGAGCCTTTGTTAATCTTCCTGCATTTAGGCTTCTACAGACAGTAGTAACGTGTGCATCTTCAATCCACAAGGTGAGTAGCCATAAAATTACCAAAAATGTCACCAACTGTGAGACAACTACCAGTCCAACAATTATAGATCGTTTTCCCTTTGGGATATCTATCAAACTTGAGATGAATTGAACAGTGCGGGGCTCAAGATGATTTGGTAAAAAGTTAAAAAATAAACAGTTAAATTAAAAAATGAATTTTGGTAAAATTAAGCCTTTTCCTTAAAAAACAATTAAAATGAAACTCATAAATATATAAAATCAAAGCCAATGAAGGGAGGTCGTGGATAATTCTTCAAATGTAGAGGGAGTCCAAGGTAGTTTTTTATACTTTTGGAAGTGTGAATAGAAACTGAAACCTGAGGGAAGATGTGGGATAATGAAAAATGATACAGTTTACCGAAAAAATACACCAAATTCACTCATCGACAGACATGGCATCATTTTGATCGTCCATTAATTATGAATTTTTTTTTAAGAAAAGCAGATGGTGCCACATATGTTAGTGCGTGAATTCGATGTATTTTTTTGATAACTGTAGCATTGCTCGTGGGATAATAGTAATGGTGGAAAAATTGCTCGCCCAGCCCTACTCGCGGCGGGTTATAGGGGTTGGTGGGTCGGGCCTAACACGACCATCCAACAAACCCGGCCCGCCAACCCTAACTCGATGGGTTATGATGCGGGCGCCCACAAATTTTTTTTTTTAAATTTTTTCTTTTATGTAATTGTTTTTAGTTAACTTTTCAAATATCAATAATTCAATTCAATTAATTTTTTTTTTTTTGTTAACATTTCAAATATTAATTCAATTTTAATATAATAAAATTGTAATATAAGAAAAATTATATTTATTCATTTATCAAAAAATAAAATAAGAAATTACAACAATTATTGCCTCGTTAAAAATCTTACCAAGAAAAATCCAATGGGACAAAAACTTGGTAAGGAAAAAGAGTGCAATAATTGACAATTAATTTATAAGTTACAATTTACAAAACAACTAATTTGGGGGTTGACTAGGACCTCCCTCGTCAGTATCATCTATATTACAAAATTGAAATAATTCTATTAAAGTATCGTCGACAACCTCGTATTGATCCTGATGGCGCGACCGTTCCCAATCTCAAAGACATGTGTGAGGACTTCAATAATTTTTTGTGAAAGTTTAGTCCTCCTTTCATTTAAAATTCTTTCACTTGCTCTAAATGTTTGTTCGGATGAGACGGTTGAGACAAGAACAACGAAAACATCCAAGGCAAGTCTTGATAATACCGAAAAAATACATTTTCTGCTTTTTCAATATTCTAAGACATCAAAGTTGGCTCTTTATTGTGGATCTGCTGGTAACACTTCGGGGGGTTTCCAAATATTGTTGAAGCTCATTACTCTGTGACTGCATGGAGGACAGTATATTCGCTGTTGGTGCTTCTGAAGAGGAGGTTGTGCTTTGGGTTCGGGTCCTCTTCAGCCTATTAAGTGCACCCCAGGAGTCGAAGTCTTCATTTGTTTCTTCTGAAGCAACTTCCCTAGTTATTTTACCTCTTTGCTGGTTCTCATACCCGTTTTCATATTGCAAATATACCTCTGCAAGACACTCTTTTACCTCTCCTAGTTGATTGCATATGCTTCGTTTTGTAAATTTTAAGTTAATGTGTCTAAACCTGCTACTTTAATTATAGGATCAAATATAACACCTAAATAATAAAGAAAAGCAATGGGTTTCCAATATTTTAAAAAAAAAAAATTTCATTGCCTTTATTGGTCCCCCTAAAATTTCATTGTTTCTGTTTTTTCTAAATAAATCTAAAATTTTTATAATTGTATGTATTACCAATGGAGTAGTTGGATAATACACGCCAGAAAGTTGTAAAGTGGATTGGTAAATTTTTTTAAGAAAAGAATGAATTTTTTTAGCTATATGTAAATCATTTTTTACCAAATAATGAATATTATTTGCTATAAAATAACTAATTAAATTTGCATAAGGTAAACATGAATCAAGCATTAAATAAGTACTATTCCATCTAACATATATGTCTAATGCAAAAGTTCTAGAAGACGTATTTGATTTTATACAAGCATCTTGAAATTGAGCATTTCTTTTATTACTACCAGTAATCCAAGCTAAAGAATCCATAATTCTATCAATATTATCTCTAATTATTTTTATACCAGTTTTCACAATTAAATTAATAATGTGACATGCACAACGTTGGTGAAAAAACTTCAAATTGTCATAAAAATGATAATTACTTTAAAAAAAAAATTATAGTTGTACTATTAGAACTTGCATTATCTAAAGTTAAACTTATCACTTTATTAATAACATCATAATCTTCTAAAACTTCAACAAGTTTATTATAAATTTGCTGACCACTATAATCCTAATAAAGATTTATTTAATTTACATTCGTTATCAAAATAATGACTAGTCACACAATTATAATCTTGTTTAGCTCTACCACTCCAAATATCGGCAGTTAGAGCCACACTAATATGACAACTATGTATTTTATTTTTTAATTCTAATTTTATTTTCCCAAACAATTTTATTAAATCATTTCTAGTTGCAGTTTTAGAATAACTTTTAAATCCTGGAAAAAATGAATTTTTAATAAATCTTTCAAAATATTTATCTTCAACCATATTAATAAGTTGATCAGTTGCAGCAATATATAAAACTAATATACATCAGAATTATAACGTCAAGTAGTACCCATATTAGTTATTTGAGTTTGATTGGTTTCTCTATTTCCATGTTGAGTAATATGTTTATTAGCATGCCTTTTTAAAGTACTTGTATCATTACCTGAATCAGCTTTATAAATATTTCCACAATACTTGCATCTTGCTTTCTTCACTTGAACTCCATTTTCTGTCTCATAAAACTTATCGAAATGCACCCAAACGTCTGATGTGTATTTGTTGTCGGTTTCGAAAGCAGTTGATGAACCTGCTTCACCTTGAGATGAAGTTGGACGAGGACGACGATTACGAGGACGACTTCTAGAACCACTGGGAGTTGTAGCAGCATGGGGAGGAATCGGGGGATTATTATGAGGTGTATCAGATTCTGAGATTGGGAAAGCGAGACTATTTGAATCTACTGCATTTATGTTAATAAATTCAAGAGGACTAGGATAGTAGTTTCCTTCATCATCGGAATTGACGAGATGGAAATATCTATCCATTGTAGTTAAAAAAAAAAATTTTTGATATAGAGGAAATACAAAAATTAAATAAGGAGAATTGGAATTTGGAAATATGAATTGAAAATTGCAAAAACTAATAAAAATTAAAATGAGAGCAAACTGACAACAAAGAGAATAATTGAGAGATTTCAATAGAGATTACAGAAAATGAGAGATTTGGGGTGTGAGAAAATATGAGAGTTTAAGGCCTATTTATAGAAAAAAATGGGAAAAGAAAATGACGAAAAAGACCCCTCCAATTGCTATAAAACGGCTATATTTCAAGGGTAAAAGAGATATTTGAAAAAAAAAATTAATTTTGTATTTTTTTGGGGGCCAACCCACGAGTTGGTGGGTTCTTTTAAAAAAACAAAAAAGCAACTCGACAGGTTGCCGAGTTGCCATATAACAACCTGGCCCGTCCGGGGGTTGCATACGGGTCGGATTTAACCCTTTTTAATGCGGGTCAGGTTAGGGTTGATCCGCCTAACCCTGCCCATTTGTTCCACCTCTAACCAGATCCATCGAGAATCTGGCCTAAAAAAGCTAGATCTACAGCTAGATCTGGCCATTGACAAAATATCTTTTTGTCGGCAAATCAAACATATTAATGAAATGATACAAACCATCCTAAAATTTATGTGGTACAAAATGTGACAACGATTTATAAATAAAACAACCATGTCAAATACTAAAATGATATGCCAACAAAAATATGGACCAGCTTAATAATGCCTATATGATAATATTACCCTTTTAACAAACCTTAGTCAAGGTTCATGGTTTCATCAAGATTTATTATAATTTGATCACAAAAATAATGTTATCTTTCTACATATGACATACTGTTAACATGTTAACAATTTTTTTTTTTTTTTTTTTTTTATGATGATGTGGTGTTTAGATTAACTTATAGTCACTTCAACTAATCTTTTAAAAATCTAGAATTATCGATTAAGTAAGAATTTTAGTAATTATCAATAACTAAACAGAAATTTAAATTCAAGATCTTTTGAGTAATACATGAAAGTGTTTATATCATATTTAAGTCCTATGCACTAATATAATTAAAATTTTATTTTTTGTACGTAGAAAGAATGCATGTTCAAAGCATACGTGCCTTAAAAGCACACGTCTATTTCACACAATTATTGCAAGCCCAAATTGGGTGAAATTTAAAGTAATATTAATAATATAGTACATAGTATATACTACTAAATGTGACTGAAATTAAAGATTTCAAATGTTCAAATCCTGAAGAGACAAGTCATTAGTCCAAAAGCCGTCCTGTATGGTTTCATCAAAAGTACGGTTGACTTCCATCTCATTTCCTGAAGTTGCTGCGTCTTCCTCAAATTCATTTCCTGTACTTAACAAGCTTTCCACCCCGACGTATTTTTATTATTGTTACGGGGATCTAAAGGCTTCTTACAAACATCTTACAGGATCCACTATAAAATATTAATATCAAATATTAAAAATATATCTATAAAAATAAAATATTAATTATATAAAATAATAATCCTAAAAATATAATTAGACCATATAATATTTAAGTGATTTTCTCAAATTAGATAAATAATTTAATAACATTTACCTATAATTGATATTAATATTTATAAAGATATAATTATTAAATTTATCTTAACATAACT